ACAGGCCATTCGACAGAATGATTGAGAGGATGAGAGTTTAAAGGAAGGAAGTTGAGTGAGTTGAATCATACAAAACCTCTAATTTATAGAATTTTTTATCAATTATATAATGTAATTAGAGCAGTGATTTTTCTTGGATTACTTGTCAGAAGAAGTATTCAAATCATACAGTACGATCAGTATCGCATTGGATGATCTTAAAGAATTTTGTTCATCCCAAGGAGTCGTCGGTAAGACCTTTGACCCAAAGTAAAGTATAGTCCAAACGGTGTTTGTATAATACAAAGTACAATTATTATCATACTGGCTGAGTTAAATTTGGCCCAATCTAGTTTAACACATGTATCGTACTGTACGAAAGGAGGTAGCATACTATATGAGTGTCAATAATTTTGTACCAAGTAGATTGAATTCATCAATGATTGGTGGTATATGGATCGTATAGTATGATTAGTGGTTTGTATAATATGATGTGTATATCAGTGAGCTAATCTTTTTTTTTTTTTTTTTTAGGAATTCAAACTTGCATAAAATAGAAGGAACCAAAAAAAGCCTAGATATAAGCTAATGAGAGTAACCCAACCTATCACATTCTTCCTTTACTAAATGAACAAAAGAAGAAGAAAGATTACTCTCACAAAACAAATCACAAATAAAATCATATGATAAAGTTAAGTTAGCATAATAATCCGCTAACTTATTACAATTATGCTCAACCCATTGAAATATAACATTATTGAACTTACTAAAAAATAAAAGATCGTCACATTCTAAGTTCCCCTTCATATTCTTACGTTTGTTGTATAGTTCTTGAAGAAAATGGAGAAAATTATTATTGTCACCTTCCACAATAATGCATTTGCTTCTTGTAACCATCCTTGCACCACGTCTTTCAATAATAAAGCTGAAAGCTCCATTTGTACAATGTCCCAATGCAATTTTCCAAAACCAAATGCTAAAACAAGCCTTCCTTTACAATCTCTAATAATACCTCCAATTCCAACCTCATTGTTCTCTTTAAGTGAAGCATCAATGTTAATTTTAACCCACGGGTGGAGGAGGTTCCATTTATCTGAAGAAAATTCAATGGAATGATTAGCAACCTAGTGGTCAGAGAGGATTAAACTCTGTTTAGCTGAGGTAACAAAACCGAGAACTGAAACCACAATAATCACATTGTTGTATTTAGTTTTACCATGCTTCACCTTATTTCTGTTGCTCCATACAAACCACTATAATGTTAAATAGATCCTTATCATGAGCAAATTTGAATCAATTAACCTCTTAAGACCTTGCAAACAACCATTCCAATCTCTGAAATTGGGAATTCTAAACCCCCAACTTCTCAGTACATCAATCACCTTCCAAATCTTTGAACATTTAGTAGTAACATGATTGACATCTTCAATCACACCACAACCCATTGGACACAAAAAAGTTTCAAATAATCTTCTCCTATGTAGAAAGTCTTCAGTTGGAATAGCATCTTTGCAAGTTCCACCTGAGCATTTAATTTTAATTTGTGAACCCATGAAACCAGATCCACATCCTTCAATTCCTTGAAGCCATCTTCCACTAATAAAGCTAAGATAGATTTACTAGTCATTCTAAGCTTTAATTCCATATAATCTTCATGTAAAGTATGAAAAATCTGCACTCCACTTATCAATTTCAGCAGTTCTTCACCAAAGTACAAGCTGAGTTTAGCAAGGTCCCATCTTCCATCTTGAATGAAAAAATCAAGAGTTATATTTTCATCATAAATTCCAACAAAGGTTTCCCATTTAAGTAATCTCTTGTCCATAATCCAAACATCCTTCAATACATTAATGTTAGATCCATTCACCTTAAAAAATTTCTGAGAGCTTTCCACCCATTAGAAATGATCTTCCAAGAAGAAGAACCACCTTTAAAATCATCATTGTTCCACCATCTTTCTCCATATTTGGCTAGTAAATTCCAGTTCAACAAGGTAGACGGGTCTTGCAATAGCTTCCAAGCAAACTTTGCCCTTAGAGGCCCTATCCTTGATAATGTTAATTGAATTCCCCATCCTCCACATTGCTTCAATTTACAGAGCAAATCCCATGCCACATAATGAATCCCATGGCTTCCATCACTTTTATTCCAGATAAATTCTCTACATAGATTTTCAAACTCCTTCAAAGTCCTCAAAGGAATAAGAGAATGCAAAATGAGGAAAACAGGGAGAGAAAGAAAGACAGATTTAACCAAAACCAATCTACCGGCAAGGGAAATATATCTATTTCCACAAGCATTCAGCTTTTTAATAGATTTATCCAATAACATTTGGAATTCACACTTCCTTAATCTCCTTAGATCAATTCTAATTCCCAAGTATTCCTATTCTTCCACTATTTTGGAACCCAAAATCCTTGAAATTTTAATCTTCCTCCTCCTCAAAACTGATTTGCCATAAATCAAAGAAGATTTTTGATGATTGATTTTTTGACCAGTCCAATTGCAATAGTCTCTGAGAATGTTTCTTACCTTCTTCACACTTCTCACTTTAGCATCTACAAATAAAAATAATCATCTGCATAAATAAGATGTGAAATTCTTTGAGCCTTTAAAGAAATTTTAATACCCACATCCAATCCTCTACTAAAAAAAGCATTGGAAAGCAGCTGTGAGCATAAAATAAATAAGAATGGAGAGAGTTGATAGCCTTGCCAAAAACCACTCCTCCCCTAAATCCAATTGGATCAGGAACCATTGATCAAGATAGAAAATATGGGATCCGAGACACAATCCATTACCAGGCTGAGAAATTTGAGTGGGCATCCCAAGTCTAATATCATCTTCTTGAGAGTTAACCAACACATACTGTCATATGCTTGCTTCACATCCAACTTGATAGCTAAAAAACCATTGCTTGCTTTGGAATGCCTTAATTTGTTGAACACCTCTTGAGCCAATAAAAGATGATCCGAGATCATTCTTCCTTTCACAAAAGCCACCCGCTCTTCAGATATAATCTTTGGAATAACCACCATTAATCTATTCAACAACACCTTAGCCACAATTTTGTAAATAGAATTGCATAAGCCGATTGAACGAAAAGTAACTGGAGTTAACGGATTAGAGGCCTTGGGAATTAACACAACCATTGTATCTTTCCACTCCTTACTCATACTTCCCAAAATAAAAAATTGCTTTACCACTCTATAAACATCCTCCACTATGATATTCCAATAAGCTCTGAAGAAAGAATAGGTTATCCCATCACAACACAGAGCCTTATTATTACCCAACCTCATAATAATCTCCTTTATCTCAAGAATAGAAAGCTCCCTCTCCAACATTGCTTTATCTTCTTCTTCCAAAAGCATCCACGGTCTTGGCTAATCCTCCAAACAACACTCCCTATCCTTCCATTTGTTTTGAAAGAATTTGAAAAAAACTTCATCCACCTCCTTTGGATTCTCAGTAAGAACCCATCTGAATTTTTCACTTGAGTAACCCAATTCACATTTATCCTCGCATTAGCAAAAGCATGAAAAATTTTAGTGTTAGAGTCACAATCTTCAATCCACTTCACTTTGGCTCTTTGCTTTCACAAGGTATTCAAATAATTAAGATTAACATTCAGCTCTTTGACCTTTGATTTAAGCAACCATAATTTGTCTTCATCCAACTAGCCATCTCTAGCTTCCTCATCTTGAAGTTGATAAATTTTTGCCTTCAATCTGTCTTTCTCCTTGGAAAATTCCTTAAATTTGAACATGCTCCAATAGAACAAATCCTTTAAGGTCCATTTACATTTTTTAATTAGAACTTCCATGTCATCCCCCACATAAGCCTTCTTCCACCCATTTGAAACAATATGAGCTGATGTTTTGACAGATAATCAAACATCTTCAAACTTAATTCACCTCCTCTTCCTTATACCCGACTCAAAAATCTTCAGCACAATTGGACTTTGGTCTGAAGCCACTCTAGCTAAGTGCCTCACAACAACAATTTGACTATTATTAATAGCCAATGAGTTGAACAACCCCCTATCCAATCTTCCAAGTATCTTTCCCCCTCCAACTTTATTATTATACCAAGTATACCTTGGACCAACTACCCCAACTTCATGATAATCACTATCATTCATAAATTTTATCATCTCCATGGAACCTTGAGAGATACAAACTTTCTCCCACCATTTTTGTCTTCTTGGGACAAAATTCAATTAAAGTCCCCACCAATAATAGAAGGAACTTTCCTATATGAACACTCCTAAATACAATCCCATAATAATATTCTTTTATGAACTTCCTTGCTCCCATATACAGTAGTAATCATCCACACTCATTTATTGAAGACATTAAGATCCCCTATAATGCATTGATATGATTTATTTACCATAGAAAAGGATGCCAAATATTATCTCCATAAGATCATAATACCACAAGATAACCCTTCTAAAGTAATAAGGAAGAAATCCCAATCAGGACCCATCATCCTTTCAAAGGTAACTCTATCAAAAGAGTTGATTTTATTCTCCACCAACCCCGCAATAAAAAACCTTAAAATCTTTTATAAATTCCTTCATATAAAGAGAGGTCTCTTTCTTCTTGGACCCTCTACAATTCCAAAAGGTAATGGATTCCATTAAACCTTCTTGGGGGAATAGCCCTCATCTCTTTTCTTATCTCCCCCATCAAAAATTCTACCACGGGAAATATTTTTAATAGGTCCTAAGGATCTGAGTTCTTTTGCAAGCTTACATTTAGTCAAGTCCCCATTAAACAGTCTCCTTTTCCATAATACACACCCTCCCATCACTACCTTTTTCCCCCTCACCTTTATCATAATTTCCAACCCCAACTCCATCAACCACAACACCTTCACAATTGTTTCCACTACCACAAAGACTTTTATTATTCACCTCAACCTCATCCTTTTCCACACCCTCCACATTCAAAACATCAAATTTATTCATATTTACTAGAAAAAAAGATTTATCATGAGGAGATGTCATACCCAATATGCCAGTTGTTTCCTCTACTTTATTAGTGATCTACATAACGATCTCCTCTATTGCATCAGATTGCTTCCCATTAACAAGCATGTGCTGTCCATACCTATTTCACCCTCCTCTAATTGATTTACCTTAGCATTTGATTCCAACTCCTCAACAACAATAATGTTCTAGACTAAAATTTTCTCTTCAGATCTCCCACCGTGAGCTTCCATACTCATCTTCATATATTTCTTTACAAACTTCAAATTCTTCTTCAACTGAGCAGGTCTTCTTCTACTCTTTAGAGTTCCCTGACTTGAAGATTGTATCTGAAAACAAGATGATGATTTCAGAATACTTTGGGATTTCATGCCCCAATACAGAGTCTCAAAACGGCGAATGTCGTGTTGATTGCCCTGATAATGATGCCCAAGAAAGGAATGTTCAGATTTTCTCGACCGACAATAGCTGTATCGCCATTGGAGTTGCGGATAAGGATTCTCCTTTAAGTAGTGGTTCAGCTGATGTGCCTACTGTGACAAATGCAGCTAATTCTCAGGTTGTTTCAGAACCATCAGGCACTACTGAATCTCCAACTGAGAAAAACAAAACCAGTGAAGTTGCAGATGGTGATACCAGTTCCCCTGATGCAGCAGAAAAGCCATATGTTCTTCCTCTGATCAAGATCAATCTTGAGCCCGAGCAACCAGTGATACAACAGGAGATAGTCGACATGTACATGAAAAGCATGCAGCAATTTACAGAGTCATTAGCTAAGATGAAGCTTCCTATGGATATAGAGAATAACAATGGCGGTGGTGAAGCCGGTAATGACAATGATCCTGCTTCTGACAAGAAACCACAGGCTTCAGAGAAGACAAGTACTCCCAGGGTTTTCTATGGGAGCAGAGCTTTCTTCTAATTACTGGATCTTCTCTGATGAGATTTCAGATTTCTATTAGGTACTAGTTGAACTTGTTATGAACATCATGCAGAAATCTATGCACTTTTTTTGCATGTTGAGTAGGTTATGAGAAAGTAAGCTGAGCATTAGCTCCTTCTACTATCATGTATCACTTGTTTCATGAACTGTTTACTTTTAACCATGATATGAATGCCATTTGCAATCAGTTGTTTAACATGTTTTTAGTTTCTTCTTTTTGTTTGTATACTATGGCTTCGTTTGGGACGTTTCTCTTATTACTTCTTAAAGCAGCTTTCTAGTACAAAAATTAGAAAGCTGCTTTAAGAAGTAGAAAGAAAGCCGTCCAAAACGAAGCCTATATTAGTTGATCAGCTGGCCATTAAATATCATTGTTTCATGTTTTCTGAATATTTAAGCGCAATTAGTGCTTTGTTCTTATTACTTGTAATATCTATTGTGCTTTCTTATATGTGATGCTATATGTCAATACCTGAAATAATAAAGAGATTGCAAATAGATCATTCAGGCTTCGTTTGGGACGGCTGTCATACTAGTTCTTAAAGCATTTTGTACTAGAAAGCTGCTTTAAGAAGCAGTAAGAAAACCGTCTCAAACGAAGCCTCAATATTTGTAAAGGGCATGAAGGCCTAGGATTGCTCCTGCATAACATAGTTGAAGAAAGCATGCTCGAATCGACTTATCTAGCCATTTTCCATTTGGACTTGGATGAATCATAGAAGGCATTGCCAACTTATCGCCGGTGTTTCGCCGGCTTTCAACTAATGTGATCTAGATTAGAGTTTCAGTTAACAAAATTTGATTTTATTATGTTACCTCCCTCAAATTGTTTCTAGCTCACCCATGCCTTATGCTGAACTCTCATCATTGCTTTGAAATGAACTGCAGGAATTCATTTTTTTCTGCATTATTCTGGTGGAGAAGCCCAGAAATCCTTAGCTTTCTTCTAGAAAATGCAATTTCTTTTCTTCTAACCAAGCATTGGCAAATGGGAAATATGACTAAGTAGTCCTATGAAATAATAAATTTTCACTTTTTGGGTGCAAAGTCTTCTTGATTTCTTTGCCTGTATGGTTTCTTCATTATGTAATATTTATATGACTAGTCAGTAGTCAGCCTCTAGACCTATTCTCTACAAGATTCTAAAGTATTCTCCTTATCTCAAGACTTTTGGGAAAAGGTGAGGAAGACTTGCTAGAGAAAATTCAAATAAATAAATAAATAAAATATTTTTTCCTGATGTATAATGCAAGAGATGATTATGATCTTTTTATTTCTTTTATGGTAAGTTTGAAAGTGAATAATTTCATGCTTTGGAGCTTTTGCCATGTAGTAAGTGAAGTGGACATATGAAGTTGAAAGATCAATTTTTTTTTCTTCTTGTTTTACTTTTATAAAGTTATTTTTGTGTTGTGAATTTGACTCAAACCATAAAGATGACTAAAAAATTAGATTAAATTTTGTTTACTTTGTCATCGATTCAGAAATCTACGAGCTTGTTAACGAGTTAGGTTCAGCACGAATCAAATTTAAATTGAGGTGGACCTAAAATGAAATGTGCATGCATGAGAGCATCAAGGTGCATGTAAATATGTTTATGTTTACATTTCCTAGTTGTTTTAATGCTTATAATAGGGGTGTCAATAAATGACCTAATCCAACAGCCCGACTTATAAAATTTGGGTGCGGGCTAACCAATCTAATAAATGAGTCGGGTTTGAAATTTTGACCCATTTAATTTGTGGATCGGGTTTGGGTTAACTCACAAATTCGATTTTGACCCAATGGTGACCCATTTTGTTGTTTTTTTTCCCTCTTGCATGCTCTTGCTTGTTTGTGTGTTTTTCTTATTTTTTATCAATTAATGTAAACTCTATAGCAAACAAGTTAGAATTTTTTATTTCTTTAATCAAAATAGGTTATCGGGGCATCCGTGTAGCCAACGGGTCGATTTGAGTCAACTTTTTATTAAACAGATCAAGTTTAGGTTGACTGGATTCATATCCAGTAAACATTGGTTCAAACTCAAACCTGATCCGTTAACTTGTTTTGACACCCCTAGCTTAATATTAATCTATGAAAATATATGAATGCATATATAATTGATACATACTCCAAAAATTATCTTGATCGGGCACGAATCTCGAGGCAAAAGCTAGTTGGAAACTTCAAAAATTAATTTTGGGAGCCCCCAAACTCCGATTTCAGCAAGCTTATAGTCAAATTGAGCGTCTCAGAAATACGAACCCAACGACACCAAGATCAACCCAATCCGAGCCCAAATGAGTCTGAATCAAGGGCTCAAAGCGCTGTTGGAAGGTTCAAACCGCAATTTGAGTTACCAAACGGTCTCCGATTTTGACGAGCTTATACTCGGATCGAACGGCTCGACGAGACGAATCCAACGAGCCCAAGATCGCCGAATTCTGACTTCATTAAGGCCTTCAAATGTCCAACGAACGGTGCATGATCAAAGGATTCGATATCGGCCGTCCATTCAAAATACTCCCAATTCGCCCCTGATCTCACGCCTATTTACGGGATATGCCACTCCAGAAAAACTATAAATAGAGCTCTTATTCTACACCAAGGGGACTCAAGTGAAGAGAGAGAAGAAGAAGAGAAGAAGAAGGAAAAGGGGAAAAGGCGATTCCTCTCCTCCTCGACCACCGCCAGAGATCTTCCTGCCGTCTGAATACGCCGGAACTCTGCCGGATTTCGGGAAACGACGGGTTTCTGCAAAACTTTGTAAATTTGTTTCAAGTTGTAATCTGATCGTCCCAATTTGCGGGACGAATCAGTTTCTTGTAATTTACAAAAAACGCTAGTGGAATTTTACAACTGGGCAAGGCCCCGTGGTTTTTCTCTTTTTGGGTTTTCCACGTACAAATCCCGATGTTCTTTTATTTTCCTGTTTGTGTGTTAAATATACGTGCAACGCTTGGACGCGAATTTACAAACTCTACCGCCACGTATTTTCTAGCACGCATCAATAATAAAGCCGAACTCTTAAATGTAAATATGTCCTTTGATGTATAACTAGAGTTTCATTAGTAACTTAAACTTATCTTTCGGGATAATGTAACATATAAAAGAATTGCGATGTCTATCAGGTTAAAGCAGACAATACCTCAATAAATAAATAAATATATTATTTATAGAGAGGTAAGATTGATGAAATTTAAATAGTAAACATACTATATGATATTTAGATTATCCCAATTTTGATGAAAAAAAAATACAAATAAAGATCATAATCATTGTTATTAATGAGGTTCCTTCAAAAAGAATTGTGAAGGGAGAGAGATCCTTTCGTTTATGTCAACAATAATTAGCGTACTTCCAACGACAATATGGCTAACCACTAATATCTTGTTGACTGTACTGTTCATCACATCATCATTTGATTTTTTTAATTTATGACATATATAGTGCACCTACTTTAATCTTACAAAAAAAAAAAAAAAAAAAAAAATGGTGTGATGGGCACAAGTGGTAAGATAAAATTTAAATTGAAAATTTTTAGAATTAAATTTCATCAAATTTATAGTCGAATTAAATGTCTCAACAGGACGAATTTGACAATACCAAAAGTGGTTCAAACTGAGCTTAAATGAGTTCAAATCAAATGCTTGAAGTGTAGTTGGAAATTTCAAATATTGATTGGATGACTAAATGATTTTCAAACTCAGTACGCTTATGGTCAAATCAAGCGGCTTTATGAGACGAATCCAATGAACCCAAGATCACTCAATTTTGACATTATTAAGACACTTTATTGTTTAGTAAACGCTTCATGATTATTTGATTTCTTGGATCATGAAGCGTTTTTTTTTTTCTTTAAAATAAAACGCTTCATGATCCAAGAAATCAAATGATCGTATGATGGAGTGCTTTGGATTCTGGCAAAGTTTATCAAAATGTTAATATAAAAAAAATCTATAAATAGAGCGTCATTCTCTATATAAAGGAGGTCCAAAAGTAGAGGGAAGAGGAGAGCTCCCTTGCATTTTCTAGCCCTCGCTGCTACCAAAGACCACCATCAGTTAGCTCCACTAACGACCACCATCATCTCTCATCGATGACCATCACTGCCAATTGGCACCATCATCTACAGACCTCTAACAAGATCTAATCCTATTATTTAGTTTCAATTGTTCGCTTGTGGACACCAGATTTTTGTACATTAACTATGTACATTATAAAAATTTATTTATGCATTATAAAATTTTTACTCTTTTTTTCTAAAATAATTATGTACATTATACAAAAAAAATTATGCTTCTTAATTTAGCATAATTTTTAAATTATCCTTCATTTGACATTAATCTTTTAAAGGTAAATATATATATGATCTGCCATTTAATTGAAATAAAAATTAGGAGATGAAGAAAATGGTGAAAAATAACTAAATATGAAAAAAATAAATAGAGAGAAAATAAGGCAGATTAAGATATATTTGATAAAAGAAATTTCATAAAATAATGATAATTTTATTTTCTTTATTTCTGAAAAGAACTTTAGTGTTACTGTGTGAGGAAATTGAATTGTTGCTAACAATTCAAATGAGTGTTTAAATGACCAGAATAATAATAATATCAATGTGATCATGTTAGAAAAAAATTATCACTTGAAATATATAAATGACTTGAGAGAATTTTAAAAAAGGATTAGAAATCCTTCAAAGTAGGAGAAATTATTATGTGCGGAGATCGGACACAGAGAACTTCGTCTCTGTGAATAGTAAAAGTGATAAACTGGTGTACCTGCATTAAAGCTTTAGCAAGGAAAAGAAAGATGAAAGCAAAACAGAGCATAACAGGGAAGACTATCAGAAAGAGCTCAGCTGCTCTCATTTCCTTCACCCGACTTCACTGCTACAGTACATGAGATATATAGCCCGATTGGTTAATACCCAACGGCTGTGATACACAAACAGTGATCAAACGGTGAGCTAAACAGCCGTGCACTGTGATAGCAGTGTTAGTGGGTAGTGCACTGCATACATGAGCCGACTTATCCATAAGGCTAGCTACTTATCCAATTTCCTTATCAAAAAGCACAGTGAACTGCACTTTACAAACACGAGACAAAATCAAACGGTTCTCTGTGTCCGATCTCCGGATATAATAATTTATCCCAAAGTAGGATAGTAAAGTTAGATTCTAGCTAATATATTAAATAACAAAATGAGTGGGGTGTCTATTTGAGCTGACAGGTTAAGAATTTGATCTAAAGTTGACTTAATTCAAATATGATTGACTCGATGTTTATTATGTGAGGCAAAATGTCTAAATTGAAATGAACTTCACCTAAACTTGTCGAAGTTGAACCCGACCACTTAACCCCATTTTTTATATGAAATTTATAGTTTTTTTTTTAATTAATATTACCTATTTAACTTGAGCATATCTCATTTAACCCCAACACTATTTGTCTAAGCCAAATCCAAATAGTCCGTAATTCGATCAATTTTGAATTTCAGATCAGGTTGATTTAGAAATTCAACCTAATCTGAAATTCAATCGAGTTAAGACTTCAGACCTGAACCTAGTAAAAAATTTAATCTGTTGAACTTGAATCAAATTTTTCGAGTTGGGTCTGTGTTGGATCATTTATTGATAGCTTGAAAGAAGATTTCCTTCAAAATGAATGCGTTCAAAAGAAAGAGAAATCGAGTTAATTTTCTTTTTGAATGAGCGAGCAACTACTAAATGAATAAAACTCAACAAATAATAATAAAAATATTTAAATTTATAATTATTCAGTTTTATAATCTACTTCCATTATAAAAAAAAGGCTAAATATTTTCTTATCGATTACTAGAAATCCAAAATGAATTCTAAGAGTAAAAATATAAGCTCTTCCCAAAGAGTGATGAAATAAACTATTGTGATCATTGATAATAATACACTTTATTTGAGGATAAAAACCAAGTAAAACAAGAAAAAAAAGGTTATAATCATAAAATTTAGGATTGTTTGGATATAAATCTACAAAATTTCATTTATTCATGCAAAGGGAGTGTAAATTTAAAATTTTCCATGCAAAGATAATGGTTGAACCTATTTTACAAAAAGAGACAACTCACGCTAATCTTATGCCATATGTTCATGATATCTTTGGCTGTATTATTATAATTTTATTAAACTTGTTTACTCTCTCTCTCTCTCTCTCTCTCTCTCTCTCTCTCTATTATGAAATCATTATATGATATTATACAAAAATTTATGGCTAAATTAATAATAATGCCAATATTTCAAGAGAAATCCAAAGTATTAAAACTTGAATTAATCAATATTTATTTAATAAAATAATAAAATCCTAATTTATTAAATATAAATTTTTTATGCTTCAATATTAAAAAAAATTATTAATAGTTTTATACAATAATAATAAGGCTTGTTTCCTTCACCATTTGGAAGATCTATTGATTTAAATATTTAATTGAATGGACAAATCTTTATGATGACATTCACATACTCAAAACACAGACTTTGTCAAGATTTTTATCTATGTCAAAAAGCAACTGTCTTTTTATGCTTTATTATTATTATTATTATTATTTCATATGTTTGAATAAATTCATCTTTATTCGGATCAATACATAGATATATAAAAAAAATTTAAATAATTCACAGACTATTCATGTGTGATTAATTTAATCTGAGAGTATCATATTTCTCCAATTTAGCCTATCGATTATAAGAAATTAATCCAAAATAATTTCTTAAGTTATAATTGTGATCTAAAATTGATCTTAATTTATCCATCGATTATATAAAATTGATCATAATTTAGCCCCAAAAGAAAATTTTGAATCAATTTTGTATAACCGATGGGTTAAATTAAAGCAATGTGTTATTCTAGGACTAAATTAACCAAATACGAATAGTTGGAAAACTATTTTGAAATTTACCCCATGTAAATAAACTTTAAAATTCATAAAAATATAAAAAATAGTTCATTTTGAGCTCGCTCAATTCAAATTCGAGTTCATTCAATTCGAGCAATTTGGAATTGAATTGGCCCGAATCCTATGCTAATTTCGAATCAGCTTGTATATGCTAATGCTGAGATTGAATTAGCTTGAATCGAAACATTTCTGCCTTTAATTGATAATCAAGATGATTATTTAATAAATAAAAGTGAAAATGCTACCATAATGAATAAAAATGGATTTTTATAATTCTGATTTTTTACCTAGAGGGGTTAGGGCCACAGTAATCACTTTAATTTCTAAAGGAGCTCATGTGTCTTCCATTTCTGATTATAGGCCTATTTCTCTCTACAATGTGCTGTATAAGATTATGGCTAAGCTGTTAGCTAATAAACTGAAACAAGTGTTGCCTCTCATTATTCATGAAAGTCAGACAGGGTTTATTCATAAGCGGTGTTCTACTGATAATATTCTATTAGCTTCTGAGCTTCTCAAAGGCTTCAACTCTTCTAGTAATAGCTTCTGTGCTAAATTGGATATTCTAAAGGCATTCGATTATGTGTCCCGTGATTTTTTCATTCATAGAATGAGGCAGAAGGGCTTTTCGGATAAATTTATTAAATGGATGAAAGGATACATCTCCAATGTTTATTTCTCAATTTGTATCAATGGCTCCCTCAATGGCTTCTTCAGTTCCTCCTCGGGTCTACGTCATGGATGTCCCTTATCCCTGTTACTTTTTTGTATTGTCATAGATGGATTTTCTTGCTGCCTGCTCCATTCTAACCCCCACCCCCTCTAGGCCCTCAACTTAATGGTTGCACCATTAATCATCTCCTCTACGTTGATGATGTCCTAATTTTTGGAGACTCCTCCCCTACTAATGCTTCCTGCTTAGCCAACACTCTCTCCCTTTTTGCTAATGCTTCGGGTCTATTCATCAACCCGTCTAAGAGTTATATCCTCTTCTCTAAAAATATTCTAAATCCGAAAAATGATCGGTGATATTTTGGGTATCCCTCGTGTGAGCTCTTTTCTCAAATACTTGGGTATCCCTATCTCCTCCTCTCGGCTCAATTCCACTCACTTCCAACTACTACTGAGTAAAATTCTTACTCTACTTGATGGTTGGAAAGTTAAGATTCTCTCTTTTGTAGGTAGAGTACAATTTTTAATATTCACTATTGCAAACACGATTGCTTATTGGATCAAAGGATCCATCTTCCCCTAGGCTTACTATAAAGTTATTTCGAGACTCTGCTCTAAGTTCTTATTTCATGGTCGGATCTCTGAAAGGAAACTTCTTTTAATATCTTGGTACAAAACTGCTCTTCCTAGACAATTGGGTGGCCTCGATATTGCTCATTTTTGTGGAAGTTTTTACTATGGATAGTTTGGCCATTTCCTGGTTTAAATCTAAGTATTTATCCCCTTGGAAGCCTCTCCCGTCTAATGCTTCTAAATTTCGGAAGAGGATATGTTCTACTGCTCAGACTGTTAAAAGCTCGATTTCTATGACTATTTCAACTAATTGCAATTTCTCTATGGCTTATGACCCTTGGTGTAACGGGAAGTCTCTACATGATATTTTTCCTACCATTAGGCTTGAGTTGCTATTTGTCAATAGCTATCTTAACAACAATCATTGGGGTCTCCCCACAACTTTTCTTAAACTGCTTCATTCTGAGGTCTCTGGTATTTTCATTTGTGAGCAACCAATTTTGTCTTGGGATGGCTTACAAAATCCTTTTTTCTCTACTTTTTACTCTAAATTCTATGGTAGTTTTGAGGAGGTTAGTTTGTACAATTTTATCTAGCATAAACATCATTATTTAAGATTTTCTTCTTATGCTTGGATGACAATTTTAGGCCGGTTGAAAAGTGCATATTTACTTCTTGTTAGATCGATTGATATCAATCTTGCTTGTTCGTTTTGCCTAGAGGGTCGCGAATCTCATTTTTATATGTTCTTTGGTTGTGAATTTTCGTTTGTTGTTATCTCCAAACTATTGCTTGAGCTGGATGGCTTCCTCCTCAGGCCGACCCTGCTGCAGACATTTGATTTCATTGATGGTTTTCAAGTTTTTTCTGGCTAGGAAAAGGTTTTCTGCTTTTTTGTTATTTGTTGCTATGTTTACTTTTTATGGAAGGAATAGAACTTGCGGCGCTTCGAAAATGTTTGGAATAGTCCTTCCAGGGTCTGTTTTATCATTTGACAAGCTATCCTCCTCAAAGTGAGGAGATGGAAACATTTTGATGATCTCAAAGCCCGTTTTGCTGTGCTCAATTCAAATCTTCGTGGAGTTGTCCGGTTGGAGGCTTCTGTGGGCAATGATGTCAATATTTCACCGTGTTACCCCCTCGGATGGCAGTGGTCATCATCTGGACGCCTATGTGATCTCTTCGTGATTCTTCCTCTAGAACTAGGGAGAAGTCTGACTCTCTTTGCAATACCCTGAGCCCAATTTTGGTTCCCCCCATCGCTTGAACTAGTCCGCTTGTTCAACTGAAACTGTAACTTTTTGTTTCTTTGGCTTTCGTTTTGGAAGTTTTTCTTTTCTTTCTTATAGGTTTTCATTTTTTTCACTTGTAACTATTTTTCAATTACACAATATTTGGTAAACGCAATAAAAAAATCTCCCTATTACCTGCTAACCCCCCCCCCCCCCCCCCACAAAAAAAAAAAAAACAACATTTAGAAATGGCTAATAAACATGAAGGAATAATATATAGAAGTCTTTCCATGATGTTTCAATCACCTAAAAGGAAAAGGAAGGGAACACAACAGAGAGAAAAGAAAAGAATATTACCACACAAGGAGCACTAGAACCACAGCCTATCACACCTTCAATACCTAAAAGCATTGAATAGGAAACCAAGTAGTTGTAACTACAAGTATATTTAACATTGTTAGGAAATAAAGGTTGAGAATCATCTAAAGGAATCTTAAAACAAATAAAGCTGACAAAGAGAGGCATCAAACCTATAAGAAATGAAGAGTAAAGTTTCTTGAAATCAGGAATTCAATAAGAACAAATCAAAATATTTAAGTATTTTATTCCTAGGGATCAAGTCTTTCCCTGAAAACTTTCAGGGTATAGCAATGTCACATCACTTATAAATCTCAAGTAAAAAAAAAAGAAAGAATCAAATAACTGGCAAAACAGATACCTGCCAGGAAGTATAGAAGTTTCCCTTATTAATGGAAAAAAAGTGTCTATCACTCTTATAACTTGCATAAAATGAAACAATCTTCTGAATACATTCCTCAATCTGGTTTTACATTTCAACAAATGCACAAAGAAAGGAAAGTCTACACTAAGGCTTCGTTTAGTACAACTTTTTTGCTACTTTATAAAACTGTTTTTTAGTACAAAAATTTCCAATTCAAAAAATTTTTGTATTAAAAAGCTATTTTAGAAAGCATCAAAGAAGCTGTCCCAAACTAAACCTAAATTGTAGAATTGAACTCAAATCTCAAATCTTGGACAAAATCCTATATAAATGGAAACCGAATTTGAATTTATGGAACTAACTCTTTGGTTAGCTCTAAATAATTTACTGACCATTTGTCAATTTCAGTCATGCTCCTGTTTTTTTTCTTAATTCTTCACCTACTATAAGATCTGACACCAAAGGAATGAAACCCTTACAAGGCAGCAACTCCTGAAGAAGTAAGAAATCAACAAAAAAATGTTAGGATTAATCCATTAAATACAAGTTCTCTCTATGGTAGAATAAAGTCAAAATTTCAGTGCACAAAAGCAAATAAAAATTCTATGTATTTTCATACTAAGGCTTCGTTTGAAACAGCTTTCACACTGCTTCATAAAACAGCTTTTGAGTGTAAAATTTTCTAATTCAAAAAATTTTTGCACTGAAAAACTGTTTTAGAAAGTAACATAAAAAACTGTCCCAAACAAAGCCTAAATATGCTCTATCTCGATAAGAACATAGTTAACAGAATGAACACACGCAAGAATCTTACCACTTTGTCAGCATAAAGATCCATGCATCCACTATATTATGCAGCCATGAAGCTCTTTCATTGAACTTGCATTGCGTTGTTGAAAAGTTAACTATTTTTAAGAAATAGGTAATTTTGAGATAGGATGACATGCCAAGAATCCATTAGAGTTCACTGTAATTATAGAATTTTATTAAGTAGGTTGATAATTTTCCATTGACTCAAATATCAATGGTACATTACCCCTCCTAGATACAGAAAACTTCTAATAAAGAGTTTGGCAACAATGATTGACTTTGGATCAAAGAGTTGCGAGAACAGACCATGTTTACATCCCATGATTTGCTTGCCTTGGATCTTTACAAACTAAATTCCAGGTAATGTTATTGGGGTTTCTTCATTCAAAGTTCCTCTCAAAAAACTCAAAAATTAAGTTGAATTCTCATGTCTTGCCATGATTTCGAAAGGAAGTCTTGAATAGTTGGTTCAAGGGTTTGGCGGCAGAATCTGACTCAGAACCAGCCTTAATTTTTTTTTTTTTTTTTTTGGGGGGGTAATTTTCAAGGGGGCAAACTTATAAGTAACTGTCGGGGGTGCAAGGGGGCAGCGCCCCTGGAACAAATTTTTATTGTAAGGATATTTTTGAAATTCAAATTAATAAATAAAAAGATGAATGCTCTTTACTATTTGTTGGGGGCAATTGCCTAAAGATCATAATATTTTAAAAGTTTTAGGGGGGGCAATTGCCCAAAAACTCTTGTAATAAAGACTAAAATACCTAAAGAACTTTATAATAAAGATTTTTTTTTTATAATAAAGACCCTAAAGGGGTTTCGCCCCTGTGCTCAGAACTGATAACTAGGCCATTAGTCCATTGAAGATAATTTCTTCATTGTTATAGTCTTCATTCTGAATAAAAACCTATCAAAAGTTTGTATGGCAGTCCAATGTGGGTATAGTTAAATGTACCTGCCAATTGGTTTAGAAATGGACTAAACTATGCATTTGGATCATTTGCGTTAGAACTGAACCAAAGTAGGATAGTTAGGTCAACAAACTGGATATAAGATCAAGTAGATATTTCAAGTCAATCAGGTAAATTCAAAACACTGCAATTAGGTTTATAAAATGTATGGATCAAAGTGTTTGATGATAAGAAAAGATAAATTAATAAATGAAAAAGAAATAGTTGGAGTAAGAACTTCAGAAGATTAGGTGATTGAAATAGACTTTTGGGCACATACAACAAAAAGTAGAAAATGCACTAATTAAATAGGCAGATAAATTTAGTGTTGAACAATTAAGAAGGAAAAGGGATAAATTTAGCATAAATAGGCAAAAGATGATGAAAAAGAATTTATAAAAATTTGATTTATACCTCATATATTACTCAATAGGATTGATTCCAAATTAAGGATTCATAAAGAAGTCCTCAAATGGTAAGAAGGCTAATGATAAACATGAGTCCTCAAAGAGAGCGCTAGTAAGTCAACTGTATAAGATGCTCAACAATTTGTGATAGTGCGTCAAAAAGTTACCCTTTCATATAAAAATTGCATTTATAGACTAAATTTCTGAGTCTGTTTCATATAGTAATGTTATTCAAGCATTATTTTACCATAATATTAGATATCAAACATTATTAAAAGAAAGTAAAAGCATCTAAGAGTAATGACATAAAATCATATAACACATTTATAATTGGAATAAACAGTAGTAGTTGATTGCTTGAAAGCATACTTTGTCATGAGTTAGACATCTATTCTATCATTTTATTACTTGATTTGGCACCTATACTTGCATATATTAAGTGGAGTTCATTATATATATATATATATATATATATATATACAAAAACAATAATGCCACCTGAAATCCTACAAATTTAGTTAGTAGGAGGAACCTCTTACCTCTATTCATCTGCCTATTTGAAACAGTATAACCACCCATGTAACCAGTTGAACCACCCTTAGATGCGACATCAGAAGCTGCAGTTCCAAGCCCATAACCAAATGGAAAAGAACCATCAAGATCAGACGATGCTGACAGCCAAGTAGAATCTTCATAATTTGAACCTCCACCATATGAATCTGCATAGTTCCCTTCATAACCATTGGCTGTTGTCGCAAGGGATGTATTGAATGGGCCTGTGCCATTGTTTCTTCCATAACTTCCAGCGACCAAACCAAAACTATTCTGTCCACTTCCATAATTTGGATTCCCAGTAAAACCTCCACTGTTTATGCCACTCGCCGAAAGACGAGAGGATGAGTCAGCCCAGCTCAAGCCACTATTGCCAAATCCACCAAGGTTCCCAATTCCTGAGATCATGAAAGAGTTTGAATCTGTAGTGTTGTTGGTGCTGTAGTTAAGTCCGACATTGCCCAGTAGACTTCGAGCTACTGAGCTAAATGCTGAACCAGGACTGCTATTACCTCTACCATACCCAATAGGACTGCCCAATCTGTTCGAATTTCCACTATAATATGGGCTCAAGGCCCTTCCATAACTAAGGCCATTGTTGGAATTTGAACTTACACTGTATGTTGGGCTCATCCCAGGCTCAAAATTCAATCCAATTCCATAATCAGGGTTGAAAGGAGGGAACCCATTTCTTCCACCTGCTAATGGCCCAAATCTACCATCCATTCTCATACTATAGCTTCCTATAGAGTTTGGATTATACTCCTGATTGTATCTATTTAGTCCATAGTTTAATCCCCCAATTGGTAACCTCACAATAGGCCCTGTTGAATGTTCTTTAGGAACGGCTATTTTGACTTCCGCCATCTTTCCATTAAGTTCATGGAAGGTTTTACGCAGTACCTTATCTACAGCATCTTCTGAGTCAAAAGTTATGAAACCAAACCCTCTTGGCCTCTGAGTATTGTGATCATACATGACAACAACATCATTGATTGTTCCAAACTGCTCAAAATATTTTCTGAAGTCTGAATCTGTTACTGTTGAAGCAAGACCTCCCACAAATATCTTTTTGATTCGACCAGGAACAGGGGAACCTTGGATACTGCCGCAGCCGCTGTTTCTATTAAGTAAACATTGATCATCCCTGGGAACAGCTTTTTTCGCTTCCACCTGTTATGCATTATGCATCAATTAAGAACTGGTATTACATTCAAACGGGTTCTAAAAGAAAAAAAAAATTTGCTCAAGATATTCCAATAGAAATGCTACGAATTTTTTATTTGTAACATTAATCTAAAAATAAATTTAATAATTTTAAGGCTCATCTTGATCTTGATCAAAATTGTACAAGATATTCTGACATAAATTTTTTCTGATCTAAAATAATAAAATCAGATGATCCTCAACTTTCAGAAGAAGAGCAAATCGAAAGGGATCAAAGACTTAAATTTTGATGAATCTCCACAAGATTGATGTTGTGTTTAGATTTTTTATTTTTATTTTTGCTGATTACATAAAACAAATTCATTTCTAAATCTAATAACATGATTTGATGCATAACAGAAACCAAATGAGATCGAAATGTACTTACCATCCTGCCATCGATTAGGTGTTTCTCCATGACAACTTTCTCCGCGATACCGGGGTCTGAGAAGACCACGAATCCAAAGCCCCGGGCACGGCCAGTTGTCCTATCCTTCATGATTACTGCATCCAAAACTTCGCCGAAGTTCTCGAAGTACTCCCGTAGGCGGGCCTCATTGGTATCCCACGAAATGCCGCCGATGAAAAGCTTCCCCATATCCGACTCCATTCTCCTACCTGCAATTTCCAATTCAGAATGCACAATCAAACAAACATCAGCACCATCATCACTAGTTTCAACCCAACCAGGAGCCCGGCTTAATGGATCCTCATTTTCTTTATTTGTTACAGTTGATTGCTGCCTAACACATTGATCTATTCTTCTCAAATTGTTTTGAACAAGTTCTATCACTAAATGAGGATAACTAGATCCAACCCAAAACAAACAATCAAAATCATAAAAACCGAGGACCCATACAACACAATCCAATCATTTCTACTCCTGATCGTTTTCTTCGCATAATAGATGCTCATCATCGAACCAACACATCAAACAAATGGAAGCACAAAGTAGTTACACAAATGCAGAAGATGAAAATGAAAAAAGGTTGAAACAAGGATCCCTCTCGGATCGGAAAGAAACTCAGTTCAATCCAAACTAAACTGCAAATCTATTGAATCAAAATATGAAGCTGAAAAGATGAACTTGGTTGCAAAACGCTCACCGTTCGATCACAGTTCCGCCTTCGGATGTGGGAGAGGGAATCCCCTCTCTCTCCTTTCTCGCTAAGATCTGGGAATCGGCATCCGCTGATCAGAGGAGCTTTTCATCAACTTCTTCACCTCCCTCTCTCTTCGAATTTTTCAGCAAATTTTAATATTTGTTTTTCTTTCCGTCGTTTTGTTTCCTCCTCTCGATTTCTAGCAGAAGAACCGCAAATCGGTATATAAAGAAGAGAGAGAATGAGATTTGTGTAAAGAAGAAGATGGGCGGGGGATTGCGGTAAATGGTATCATCCTCTTAAGATTAGCTGTTGGGATTGGGATGTAGAGCGCTCGTTTGGTTTCGACGGATTTGATTAAAGCCTTAGTTTGGGACAGCTTTTTATTATTATTATTTTTTTATTATAACAACAACATATGTTCTTTATCCTATATTAAGAGTGGGTTATATGAATTTTTTTTTTAATTATGTTCTTCACGGTCGGAGGTGAGATCAGGTGCTCCACCGCCGAGGAACGAGAAGAGGAGGAAGGCGAGGAAGAGCGGCTGCAAATCCATCTGAACGGTGAGCTGAAGGAGGAGGAAGGAGAAGTCCTATGCTACCCGCTCCTCATTCTTGACAGAGCTGACAGAGAAGCAGAAGTTGTCTAGGCGCTATACTGCTATAAAACCCGAGTCTTTTTAACTCTTCATTTTTCTATTTACCTAAATATTTTATTTTTCTGAACTGAATATAATATTTCTATTTTTTAAAATAAATATAATCATTTATTTGACATATTCAAATTCAAACTTTTAAATCTAATAAAAAAAAAGCTTATTTTTTAATAATTTCTAATCAAATCTTTTTTAGATCTACTTTTATTTTTTTAATATATAAATCATGTCTAATACATCTACTTTCTTTATTTTTTTATTTTTTATCTTTTTATTATTATTATTTTTTTATTATAACAACGGCATCAAATCTTTATCTCTATATTAGGGGTGGGCTATATGTAATTTTTTTTAGTTGTGGTCTGTTAAAAGTCAAATTTTTATTTAAATCTAATAAAGAAAAATCATTTTTAATATTTTCTAACTATGTCTTTTTAGGTATACCTCTATCTTTCTTAACTTTAGTCAAATCTAATACCTATACTTTTCTGACTGGGTCATCAGAAGACAGTCGTTTTATGTGACCAAGCCATCTAAGGCGACTCTCTCTAATCTTATCTTCCATTGGAGCTACTACAACATTTTTCACTTATATGCTCATTTCGTATCATATATCTAAGGGTAAAGCCACTCATCCACTTAAACGTCCTCATCTCTGCAACACTTAACTTCGTAGAGGTATTAGATTTGAACTAAAAAAATATTTTTAAAAAAAGTTTGAGTTTTTTTTTATTATTTTTTAAAAAAAGTTTTGAGCTAAAAAAAATTATCTAAGAAAAGAGTCTCACTATCTACCAATTTTGACAATGCCTTTGTGGAATTTAAAATAAAAAATAATAAAAATTCTATTATAAATGTAATATAAAGTTGTGTTCTTATAAATTTTATTCAAAATTGTAAATTTTGATTTCTAACTTAATTGAGCACGCAGCTCATCTTGGTCTGCTGGTTGGGAGCTTTGGCTTTCAGTCAAAAAGTCTTTAATTCGAGTCTTATGTATGTGATGTATGTGTGAATTTCTCTTAATTAGCCTAAATGTCCTAAAAAAACTCGATTGAGCCAAATTGACTTGAAATCATTTGATTTTAAAGAGGCTTTATATCTGCATGAGTAGTTGAGTTAGGTTAATCGAGGAAAAATGAGATCTCGAACTTGTCATAGGTTCGAAATCATCTTAAAATTGAAGTCATCAAAGAACCTACATTGACTTGAGACTTGAAGTTGACATATAGTATGAGTTCATTTAAGACTTACAATCATTAAAATACCTAAACCCATTCACTAAGTTGGCCAATGAACTCATCATAAAGTTGTCAAAGCTAATCACCAGTTCAAATTGAAGTTGCAAGAGACTTCATTAGAGAAACTTCATTCTTAAGGATATATACATTTAGAGCTCATCAAAAATTATCTATGTGCTATGATAGCTATAAGGTAGTTAGTTTCATTTATTTTGAAATAAGTGCTTCTTAAGCATTATTATGCAATTTTACTTAGATATAGGCTACGTTTGGAACAGCTTTTTTGTTGCTGCTTAAAGTAGCTTTCTAGTACAAAATGAAAAAAATTTGTACTAAAAAGCTGCTTTGAGAAGCAATACGAAAGTCGCCCCAAACGAAACCATAGTCATCAATATAGCATTGAACTTCAACCTAAACCAATAAATAAAGGTTTAGAGGATGATTTTGGAACACCAAGTCATATACCTAATCAAGTTGTAATTTTTAACACCAATAGAGTAAAATCATAGAGCTTCTTTATGTAAGCTTTCTTTTTCTCTTTTTTCTTTTCCTTTTTTTTTTATCCACATTTGTTACTAACTTTATTGTTTCACAGACGAACAAATTTAGGTTAAATATTTTTTAATGTGTGATAGTGTAGATGACATCTAGAACAAGAAGTCAAACAATGGATTATTTAAACGAAGTGAAAATTTTATGCAAGCAGTGTAATAAAACTTTATTAATTATTAGTAATTAAATTATATGGAAGGTCGCTAGACAAAAATGATTCAAAGATTCTCTTAGCATGCTAGATAAGTTATCTCTCAAATATATCCTATTTGGGAATGCAACTTTATCAACTTACCACATCATCACCAATTTCATATTCCCTTAACAAGCTCTAATAGGCTCTTCACTTATCAAAAATAAAATGTGATAGGACCTTCTCATCCCTACCAAATAAGAAACTCTTCACAAAACTAACAAACACTTTCTCTATTCAATTTGCAAAATTCAATGCCCACCAAAGTTCAAAATTATATTCTTAAAACTTATGAAGGGAAATCAGATCCATCAAATCACATTGTTCAACTTCAATTGGCAGTCTCTTCACATTATAAGTGATTTTGCTAAATGTTAACTACTCTTCATAATGTTTAAAGAATAATCAATACTATGATTTTCTAAACTTCCTCCAAAAAGCATCATAAGCTTTTTTTTTAGTTTAAACAACTTCTAGTCATTTAATTTGCTAACATACAAAATCCTTCAATTTTAAAATGTTGCATACCCTTTTGAATAGTACACATAACTAGGCAAGTTTCTTCAAGATTTTTTCACTCAGTTTCAACATGAAATATTGAATTTATATAAGTTATAACTTATTGTCACTTAGGTTATACTTGCTCATGGTCTTAAAGAAAGATCATTCTAATATGCACTGGAATTACAACAACCCAAATGCTTTGGCTAAGTTGTTAGGACTTGGTAGTAGCCACATTATAATGCATAAGTAAATAATAATGATAAGAGTTCTACTTCAATTAGTTGGCATTTGAATCTTGCAGTAGGCCTACAAATGCAATATTAACATCGATGAAATAATCATCATAGTGAGTTCAACATAATAGTAACCTAGAGCTCATTATAATGATCAAGGGAAAAAATATAAATTCCTGTTTAAACTACAGCACAGTGGCGCTGCACCTTTGAGCATTGAGGTGCTTGGGTCTATCGAGATACTATTCACTTTGGCTTAAGGGCCTCACAGTTTTATCCTGTTGGTGTAACTTTTCAGGAGGTTGCCCATCCCAGGATTTATCTGGGATGAGCATGCTTAACTATATAGTTTTTTTAATAAAATTACAACTATAAAATTAAAAAAAAAAAGCCTCGATATTTAAAAGTTTAGCTTCTTTTTACTTAAGGAATTTCACAATCTCTCCCCACTTAGGTAACTGACGTCCTTATCAGTATCATTATCTAAGAATTATTCACCATGCATATAATATTCTATAGGTGACCCCTATAAGTTCAAGTGGTGACTCTCGCCACGTAGCACTTTATCCCATATATTGTTCAATAGGTAACTTCCATCGCATAGCACTTTGTCTTGTATAACTCTTAGTTCTCATCTTCTGATTGGTGTATTGATTTAACTGCATTTATAACAGCCCAAACTCTTAACTGTCGAGATATTATCTGTTTTTCATGATTTTGTATTGTTGGTGTAACTTCACAGGAGGTTATCCATCATAGGATTTATTTGGGATGAGCAAGCTTAGCTACAAAGTTTCTTAATGAAACTTCATATATTACACCTAAAGATGCTTCGATGTTTAAGAGTTTAGCATCTTATTACTTAAGGGGTTTCACAACAGTTGCACTGTAATATCAAAATCTGCTCCAGGATCGTCAGATCGTCCTGGGACGATCAGTTGAGAATCTGTTCCAGAATTTGCCCAGATTTGCTCCAGGTGATTTTCTGTAAGCATCGTCCAGGCCGATCGAGGCTTCGGCCAGGCCGATTGGCACTGTTCAAAATATCGGCCTGAAACAAGTTCTGGGAACCGTCCAGGATGATCCAATTTGGTCTGATCGTCCCGGGACGATCTTGCGATCGGCCGGGCCGATCTATGTATTATAAAGCTGAAATCAGTCGTTTTGAAGAGAGTGAAAATCAAAATTTTATAAAATATCTGATTTTGAGGAGAGAGAAAGTCGAGGGCATTTGTGGAAAAGTGGATTTTCGGGCGACGCGGAGCCGTTTTTGCGAATTTGGTGAAATTTTATTTGCAGGAAATTTTGTGTAAATTCTGTCTACTGCCGTTGTGCTGCCCGATTTTTTTGGGTAATTTCTGAATTGTCCGTATTTCTTCTGAATTGAAATGCTATGTGTATAAGCTATAAAAAGGGAGTTATAAGGGGCCTGAATCCTATGAGATTCAGTTAGTGAAACGGGAAATCTGCAATGAGATCAAATCTGATATCTGTTCTGTTCCGGATCCGATGAATTCTGTTCTGGTGCTATAAGCACATTTGTTCTGGTGCCGTGAGCACAAAGGGAGACATAAGGGGCCTGGATCCTATGAGATTCAGTCAATGTCAGGGAATTTAGCTATTAATTATATATCTGCTATCTGATATCTGTTTGTTCTGATCTGTTCCGTTCTGATCTGTTTCTGAGTTGATATAGGTCTATTTCAGTTCTAATCTGATTTTGATTTGATATGTCCGTATTTGTTCTGATTTGATCTGTTTTGTTATGAACTGTCTGATTATGATTTCTGTACGAAGATTCCGATATCTGTCTGATTCTGTTTTTGTTTCTGATTTGAATTTGGGTCTGATGTGTTTGGTTTTGGATTCTGAGAATTTTGATTGGAGGTTTGTTGCTTTGCTGAGCTGTTGAGCTCACTCTCGTTTTCTGGTGGTTTTCAGGTTCTGGGAAAGGGAAGGA